ATTACTTTTGTTGTTGAAATACGTGATTTATTTTGTTCAGTAATTATTGCTTAATAAATATTTGATAATTGTTTTGTTTTTCTTGCCTCAAGATGTTTTTAATTGATTACCTAGCCATCTAAAAAACAGCATGCTCCATCTGTAAAACAAATGTTCCAAGAAATGCAAACTCACAGCATGACTCAGCAATACTTCTGCTTTTTTTCATTTGAACTTTCTCAAAACTTTTTCTTGAATGTCCAGCTCCAATCATAATGCTAGTTCCAACAATGTGCAAAGGTTAACATCTGAGTATTTAAAAGAAAAACACTTTCAAATCACAATGGATTTGTAATTCCCCCAGTGTAGTTGACAGATTATTGTTTAAGATAATGGATTATTTCAGATTGTACTTTTTCTTTACACCAATATGTGATCCAGTGATTTTGGCCACACTCATATTGATTGACACTTCTCTAAAAATAGCTAACAACTCATAGACGTCTGATACCAAACACTTATTTGTTTGTATACTTGCAAGCCAAAAGGTTTGGAAACAGGTTTAATATTCTATTTATTTTGTATCATATAAATGTATATTCTTCTTTAGTTCAGAAAAATGTGGTAAATGCCATATTTCCTTTAGAAGTGTGGTACATTTTCAGACTAAAGGCACTCATTGAAGCCCTTCCATAATGTTTTCAGTCTCTGTTTCTGTGAGTTCCCATGAACAAACACCTGTAATCATATGACTTATGTTTGGTTAAATCTTAAGTTACAAACACAGAGAAAACAGAAACTTCACCACTCCTTAAGTCCTTCCTCCTCCCACATACCCACCTTCTCCTCACCTCAGGGTGTGCCTCTCCCCACCTTCTGCAAACACACCTCATTAGAGTTACCTGTCAGTCACTCTGTCAGGGCTTAGCAAACACTTCCTTCTATTAGTGGCAGTGGGCCTGTACCTGCTGACAGCATACTGGCCGTCATGGTGGTCTGTCTAATTTTCTAGAAAAGGAACTCAATCCAAATATATATTTTTGGTAGATTGTTGTTTCCACATATCCTCCCTCCTTTAATGGAGGATGTGACTTCTGCAGTTCTCAGACAAAACATTGATTCTTATCTTTAGCACCCGTCAGCCTCGCTCTCTGTGTGTGTGTGTGTGTGTGTGTGTGTGTGTGTGTGTGTGTGTGTGTGTGTGTGTGTGTGTGTGTGTGTGTGTGTGTGTGTGTGTGTGTGTGTGTGTGTGTGTGTGTGTGTGACCTCTCAGTCCCACCCAGGTATCGCATGCGACCAGCTGCGCGCTCAGAAATGCAGCAGATCTCTTGTTCAGGGTTTACGTTCATTACAACTGAAGTGGCACGCTGCCAGAACAGCAGCCACCCACTTTTCACCTGCGTGCCAGCAAACAGCCCGCCCAGCCACCTGTGCACTCACAAAGGCAGGAAGACAGGGAAAGCCTTTAAATCACTGGGAATTATGAGCAGTTTCAATTCAGATGTATTATTGATGTTTTTCTGACATTCTCGACATATTAAACTTAATATCGTTAAAAAACAAGATAGCAAAAGGAAAAGTATGACAAAGAAGTCAGAGTATAGAATGTTGGAACATGTCAAAAGACGACTCAGTATAGTATGTCAGAAATATAAAAAAATACAATATAATATCAGAAAAAAGCGTTGTATGATATGTGGAACATTTGAGAAAAATGGCATTGCATTGTAGGCTATGTCAAAAAGGTATGTCTATAATGTTTTTTTTTTAAAAGTTAAGTAAAAGTAAAGTATGTAGAAAGTATGCAAAGTAAAGTCAGGAAAACCACAACATAGCAAAGGATGGCAAAAATATCAGGGGGTAAAATGATGTTGACAATGTCCGAAAGAAAGCATTGTATAATGTGAAAAATTCGAAAATGAAAACATAGTAAGATGAATATATCAGAGAAAACAATATATTACTGCATGTCGAAAAGACAGTTTAACAGTTTCATGTGTTTACATGTCTATGTGAATGTGTGTGTGTGTGTGTGTGTGTGTGTGTGTGTGTGTGTGTGTGTGTGTGTGTGTGTGTGTGTGTGTGTGTGTGTGTGTGTGTGTGTGTGTGTGTGTGTGTGTGTGTGTGTGTGTGTGTGTGTGTGTGTGTGTGTGTGTGTGTGTGTGTGTGTGGAGTGTAGAGTGTGTGATTGCCCTGCTAGATAAGAGTTGTATCTGGACTCCTGCAGGAATGCAGCAGGTGTACGTATTAAAACCTGCTTTTGAAGTGTGTGCTCTCCTGCAGCAGTGTTGCCAAACTAATTTCTGTCTTTTTGTGTTGATATAATTCCTAATTCCTCCTCTTGCCTGTTGGAATTCTCATTGAGGACAGAAACAACAGCAGCATATGAATGAGAGCTTGACCTGCCAGTGAGTGAGCATAAATTAACTTCCAATCCACTCTGCAGAAACATGCAGGTTATGACTAGATTGTGTGTCACCACAGTAAATGCCGATTGGCACTTAAACCCCCTGTTGGTAAGCACCACCTGATTCTCAGGCACACACTCTCACACACACAGCCTGACCACAGCTCTTTGTGGAGACTTTTAAGTCACTCTCGGCAGATCCATGGCAACCACTTGTTGAAGCCTCACTGCTTGTTGCTAAGTGATGGGATGTATTGGACCAGAAAATCCTTCCATTGACACTCACTCCACCCCCTTCTCCACCCACTCCTCTCCCCACCCCATCCCTCCCCGCCCGTGAACCGCAGCCAAAACAACCCACATATATGCAGGAACTTCCGCTAGTTACAGGGCAAGAAAAGTTGGTTCTTTACCGAAATGTATCTAAAAGGTGAACATTTAAAGGTGTTATGTTCTACGTATTTGACATCCTCCTAAGATTAATTGAAAAAAATACTTTACAACAGCAAATAAAGCAACTTTGGCTTAAAGAGTTCAACTGGTTTATACAGACATATCCAAGCTCAAAACAAATGTTTTGAAGCACCCTATTTTTATAATGCTCCCATGAGTCCTTGAGAAAGTTCCATAGGATCTTAATGAGGTTCAAGGGATCCTTGAGAGACTCAGGAAGCTCCAGTGGGGGTGCAATGATAAACAAAAGTAACACTCATTTTAATATCATTTTCAGATGCACCATCATTGCCCATTGGAACCATTGACACAATTAAAAAGGCTACATGAACTACCATATTACCATCACCTGTTAAATGTAATCACTTTCAGACAAAGTTTGAGAAACTGCTTTCTCCTCAGACCCCCCCTGCATCTGTTCTCCTCCTCCTCCGGTTGATCCTGGTGCCCTCATCTTCCTCCCCCCTCCTCCCCCTCTCATCCCCTCCCCTCAGTGACCGATTAGCCGGTGCGGGGTTCTCTCCATTTCCATGAGAAAGGCGGCGGTCGGTGAAAGGGTTAAGCCAGAGGACGAAGCCCCCCAAAAAGCAGCCCTAATTTTCTGCCCGGCGGGGGAGTGGGGGGAAGCGGGGCGCGGGAACAAAGACGCCCGGGGGAGGAGCGGAGACTCCGGCTTTACTATATGCACCTGCGGCCTGAAAAGCCCCGGACAATGCGCCTCCGACACGGCCAATTACGAACGGGCCATCCACCCGCTTTCTCTGTGGAGGGACGGGGGGCGGAGGGACGGGACGGGGGGGAACGGAGGAGGAGGGGAGCGGAGAAAGTGAATTTTAAAAGAGGGTAAAGATAAGAAAGTAAATAATCGAGCTTTAAATCATTCCAGGCACTATAGACTGCCGCCCCCCATTCACCCTCACCCATCACATCTCCCCACCCCTGGCCCGGGCAGCCATGTTTCCCCGCTAATGTGCACTTTTGTCCGGGCTTTTCTTCCGAGCAGCGCTGACGGCCTCGCTGTGAAAGTGAAATGAAGGTCTGGTTTGATTGCTGGTATGCCATTCTTATTCTCGATAATGGTTCGGATGGATGAGGTCATGTTTGAAGCAACAGCTGAGAAACAGCCAATAATAGTCTCTGCTGACACAGATAACAAGCTTTTCAAATTCACCTGAGATACTGAGGCCACTGGTTCTACTGGGACTTGTGAGAAAGGATGGCTTTAATTATAGTAAGCACAATAATCTCATGGGGGAACCATAATTAAAAGCCTATAATATAGGCTAAGTGTTTATGTTGAGAAATGTGATGAGAAGTCTTAATAGAATGTTGGAAAATATCAAAAAACAAAACAAAGGCCTACAAAAATACAACATAGTACAATGTCGATAATGTCAGAAAAAAGCACTGTAGAATATGTGGAAAATGTTAGATAAAACTGATGTAGTATGGTATGTCTAAAATATCGTTAAAAAAGACCTATAGTATGTTGTAAATATTTAAAAAACAACTTAGTATAGTATATTGAAATTAAGTTAATTCGTTCAATTTGGATAATTCTGATAGGCCTACTTAAATCATTATGTCAGCCTTTAGTAAACCCAAGCACTTAGTTTAAATCTCTTCTTTTCAGAATTGAAGTTTTATCAGTCCAAAATTACCATTGACTTCCATTTATTTGTATGAATATTAAGTGTCTTGTGTCGATTGAATTTTTTTCCATCCACTAATAGAACAAAAACTATTTTTCAACTTTTGTAGGAAGGTTTTTAAGTTTGCTTTTGGATTTACGTATCATATGGAAATAAACCGGCCTAAATTACATTTAAAAAAGGTAAAACTTTACAGCGTAATCCAAGTTGTGTCAAATATGGAACTAGTCAAATGCAACTCCTCAGAAATAACTTGCATTTAAAAAAAGAATGTCAACTTTTTGTTCACACTGTCCACTGTTTATTTTAAGGTCAATGTTGGACAAGGTTCTATATGTATTGAGTTATATGTAAAACATGTCTAAGTGTAGTTGAAAACCGATGTGTCTGAAACTCCAGGAACAAGCTAGCAAGTGGACCTTGAGCAAAGATATTTTGTGTCGGTGTGAAATGAGAATTCACTTATTGCTGTTGAACTAAAGTACACAAAAACAGATAGCGAGACATCATTGATGAAAAAGGATTTGTACTTTTTATTAATATTGTCATGAATGCCATAACAAAGATTTTTTTAATCAAAAAAAAGAATCAAGACTCTTAGTATAAGAGCCTAAAAATGTATACATTATTTACATGAATGCTACATACAGTAACTCTAGTATATGGCAGCATTTACATACAAGAGAATTCAATCTAAAAATAGAGATACAAGTCAGTATAAAAGTTAAACACTTGGGTAACAATGTAAACATTCACGCATTACTTTAATAGAATTGCTCTCCCTTTTTCAAAAATAAGTAAGGCATCTGTTTCCAGTGCATGTTGAGTTAGTAATGGAATGCTTCAAAGTTAACTGTTGGAATAATCTACCACATTCAATATTCACAGTGTTTGAAGTTGAATATAAAGTTCCCTTTAGGTCCATAGCAGCACTAGTAACCAGACAGCAGGCTAGACAACAACAGCAGTCGGATTCAAAGAACCAGGATTAAAAGCACTTATTTTAAAGAATGATAGAATAACACAGGTAAAGTTATCTGGAAAAGTTTAGAACAGATTTGCTGGAGATCTGAATCCTGCTTTGATACATTCTCTTTACTGGTAGTTAAACAAACAAATTGACAGGTGGAAAAAGGTGCCTAAAGGCCTTTTGTCAATCCAGGTCACTTTGTGGAAGACCTGTCGTAATCTGCTATTGGGAACAAAACAACTGAAATGTAGCATTTCATATTACATTTCATCCACTTACTGAAAAGCCTAAAAACAATAAAACTCTTGCCTAGAGCAAAGTGACAATGAAAACAGAGCGAGCGCCAAAACAACGCATCTGAACACTTACATCAAAAGATCAAATCTAAAACTAAATTATAGCAAATAAAGGTCGTACAGGCAGCAGAAACAGCATCACCCCTCTCCCCAGTGGAAACCAGTGATCTGAAATGTAGGCTGAGAAGCAGCCTGGCTCTGCGTTGTGAAGAGACCGCAGATCAGAAGCCGTTCTGGTTCCTGTGGATGCAGTGCTGATTGTCCAACAGGTGTTTTCCCAGGCATCCCACAACATTTCATCAGTTACAAAAATACAGAAAAAAAGCAAGAGTACTAAACCAAAGCCAGGGCAAAGAGTGTTCATTTCAAAAACAGCTTTCAGTTGTGCATTTACTTCCCCACCGACCCCCGCTCACAACACAACAAATAAAGCCTCAACGGGCACTTCAGCTCAGGTGATTGGTCTGTCACCAGTTGAGAGATTGTGTTGCCGTGACGTTTGTCTCCGTGCTGCGGCTCCGTGGTCCAACAGTGGAAGACTGAACCCGCCGACAGGCCCTGAGATCGGAGGTCATGAGTGCCAGTGTTTAGGGAGGGGTTAAATGGAGTCTTTTGACTTATTATGGAGAAGTTCTAAAAATATAAAAAGACAGAAAAAGGCAGAAGTATGTACACAGTAAACAGACGTGGCCCCTGTCTTCACTGCAGTCCTTCTGCTGGAGGGTGGTGGGCAGGGGGGGCTCTGTACGTGTGGTGGTGGGGTTTATCTTTACTGGTGGGGCACCACAGAGGTAGAAAAACAGCTTTTCAATTAATAAAAACGTAGTCGTCACTTCACGTCTGTAACTGCAGGCACATCTGGATCTGATAGACTACCGATGCAGGGAGAAAGTTTCCCTTCACACCGCGTCTCTTTGTCTTCCACACCCGACTCCATCTCCTGTCCCGCCAGCTGTGCATCTTGAGCTTTCCAGGTCCTCCCACTCAGTCTCCCCCCCGCCCCATCCCAGCTCCCCCCTTGACTCCCCTCTTCCAGTCCTAGATGTGTGTCAGTGGGACGGTTCCGGAGAGGTAGTGCTGCTGGACGCTGGTGTAGCCCCTCTGTGCTCCAGTGGGGTCACTGCCGTCCCCCCCCGGCCCGGGGATGTACATGCTGATCATGTCCCTGAGGTCCCCCTGCAGAGGGCCCCGGTGGTGGTTGGGCACCCCGGTCGGAGGAGAGTGGGACACCTGTTCTGCCTTCACCATGGACATGACGGGACTGGGCTGCTGGGGACTGCTGCCGTAGGACATGGGGCTGTGTGGGGGGGGGGGAGAAGACACCATCAGAGTTTAAAATATAAATAGAAGAGAGAAATGAGAACATACAGTGACCGGTACAAATTGGAATTGTTGTAACACGTTGTAATTTGTTTAGGATGCATTCAGTGCATCAGGACTCTTCCCTTTCATCAAAGTGTGTTTACTGTGAAACAAACTCATTTCAAATGTGTGAAAAAAAGACTACTTTTAAAACAAACTGAATATTCAAATCCAAAGACAAGGGCTGTTCCAAGATCAGCCACATTACAACTAACTGTGGGAAAAGACTCTCGGCAGTGAATAGAATAAAACATTCATTTGCATCTTCTGTAGGGTAATGCTTCTGAATGTCACAGCATTTAAAGTGAAACCAGATTTTTCTCACACCTCCTAATTGAATCAGCAGTTTATTTTGTACGTTGAGGAAGTTACATCAACTTCAGTGCACTTTTAACGGTCTGGGCCCCAAAAAGTATTATACATTGAGGCCTCTGGATCAAGACGTCACATAATCAGGGTTCAATTGCTCAGCGAAAAATACCTGCCAATAAATAATTATATTAATTTGATTCATTAACTGGAAACCTGACATCATATGTGTTGAAAGAAGAAAACAAGATATGTTGGTCAGCTCCACTCTAACTCTGAACTCAAGTCACCAAAAAAAGCATACCAAGACACACACGAGGAGAGAAAAGGGTTTAAAAAGTCATGGCAAAGTGCATTGAAGCATCACTGTAGAGACAGCAACAGAAAACTACAAAATGGCGACTTGTTTTATACAATGTAATAAAGCTGAGTTAGGTCTAGCTTTATAAGCTTACCGCAAGAGAAACTTATATAGTGAAATAGTTTAAAGATACTAGGCTCTGAGTTTTAATAATTACCTTGACCTCACAAGGTAGGACTTCTGAGTTTCAGACTTATTTGTCTTACTTTAAAAACTCTTTCAAAATAATGTTCGCGATTCCTTACAGGAAAGGACAGGGATGGACAAGTTGGGCGTATGACTAAAAGCTGCTGACAGACGAGTAACTGATGAGGCAAACCAAAACAGCTTTCACCTGCTGGAGAACAAAGCTGTTAACGCTTCAGTTGAGTCACCTGTCAGAAAGTGACCAAATGATCAAAAACTAGAGTACATTTCCACATCATCTATCCTCACATTTGGCAAAGTCTTTGTACTGAAGGGGGACATGAGACCTGAGGCAGGGACCCAGAAGTGGAACTGGGACAATGGTTTAGCAGGAATAGGGGATTGTGGGTAAGGGACCACACACAGAGAGGCCCTTCCTACCGTCAAGTCATCCTGATCAACATTCCAGGCAGGACCCAGCCCAGAGCAAAGCGTCACACGCATAACAAGTAGGCACCAGACTGAAGCCTGTTGTTCCTGTGACTCAATGGGACTGAATGTACTTTATCGCAACATTTCCACCTGATTAAAGTCTCACTTTAGAGTGATGTCTCGCATCAGGTGCACTCTGTAGAATGGAGGTATATTTGCAGCTCCCTTCCTTCTTTCTGTGGTTCACATTAAAACCATTTAGATAGTTACAAAAAATAAAAAGTTAAATCAAAGAACATGTTATAATGTGTCTTCAAAAGTTTCTGTCAATTAGTCACAACTAACAGAACAAATATATTTTATTTTTTGTATGGAGTGTGGCCTAAGTGACTAAAGAGCTGAATGACACGGACCAACTTATAAAAAGATAAAACCTTAAGGAAACTAAAAAGCATCAATTAAACGACTGTAGTCTCTGCGCATGCGCTCCCAGTTGAAGTAGTGCTTGTGTGAACTCTCCACTGATTGTCATTTAAAAGCATTTACAATAGATTTAACTATCTTTTTAAAGCATTTTTAGGGAGTCGGCATCACATACACTCATTTAATGTATGCCTTGTAAGCAGTATTTCAAGAATTAGTACTTTTGACTAACTCTTTAATAATTTAAAACGCGCCAGATTGTGACGCAGGTGGATGTGGCTATACCGCGCAGTTGGAGACCTTGTTTGGTGGTTCTCGTTTAATTTAATTAAGCATGCTTCTCGAATTCAGACAATTTCCTACGTCATATTTAAATATAAAATAGATTGAAATCACAATTGAATTAAAGTCAGTAGGCTACGTGTTGTCCGTACTTTAGTTAGGATGTGTTCTCTGTCAAGAGGAACGACAAAGTTTCCAAATGTTTAAGTCAGTTACAAAAGTTATTATTGTACACCCGAACACACGCTCACCTGTAAGAGTTGGCTCCGTTCATGTAGGACTGTGCAGCCGTCATCGCAGGTGGGTACTGCAGGGCGGACAGGTCGTACCGGTGCAGCTGCTGGGTGTAGCCGAGAGCCTCGCCCTGCATGCCGGCGTACCCCCCAGTGGGGCCCCAGCCGTAGCTGTCCATCCTGGGACTGCCACCTTGGCCTTGCGCCGCCACCAACAGGTTCCCTGCTGACAGCGGGTACTTGCCCACCTGCGTGTCCTTCTTCAGAAGGGGCTTCGTCTTGCGGCGTGGCTTGTACTTGTAGTCGGGGTAATCCTTCATGTGGACGGCCCGGAGCCGCTTGGCCTCGTCGATGAAAGGCCGCTTCTCGGCGTCCGTCAGCAGCTTCCACTCGGCCCCCAGCCGCTTGCTGATCTCGGAGTTGTGCATTTTGGGGTTTTCTTGGGCCATTTTGCGCCTCTGTCCTCTGGACCAGACCATGAAGGCGTTCATGGGCCGCTTCACTTTATCCATGGGGTCGACTCCGGGGGGACACGCAGTTTTGGAGCCCGGGTGAGAGTTGCCATTGATGCCCATGCCCCCAGTCATGTTGCCGGTGACCGGGGACATGCCCTGAGAGGTCTGGTGAGAAGGCGGCTGGCCGGTGGGCTTCAGCTCGTGTTCCATCATGCTGTACATGTTGGAAAGTGAAGTTAAGACGGGTAACAGGAGAGTTAAACGCTGAAAGCCTTCGTCGCCGTCCACCTGGCGACCTGTGGCTTGGTTTAACCGGGAGCACCGGGTGATGCAAATCAACTAATTACTCACGACGCTTCCCGGGATTCAAAACACTGCAACGGACGAGCAGTGTTCACTTAAATGATATAAGTCTGGCTGTGGCAGTCATTACTTTGTCACTGAGATACACAAAGGTGATTTAAAAGCCTCTCCTCAGTGCTGTGAAAAACAACTTGTTGTCAGACGGCCAACTCTCACACTGAACTCTTCAGCTGCTCACTCCCAAAGTTGCCCCGCTCTCGTGCGCAGGCAGCTCTCTGTGGACCAATAAGAACGCGAGGAGCTTCAAAGCGTGTGCGCGCATGAATTTGCAAATGAATGGGTTTCGAGGACGCGCAAAACACTTGTTGATGACGGTGGGGGTGGGGGTGGGGGGGGGGGGGGGGGGGGGGGGGGGGGGGCATTCCAGGGAGACAAGGCCTATCTTATTATTCAATTATTGTTAACCACCTGATCAATTGATTCACATTTAAATCGAAGGGTGTTTAATCAAAATTGTCCACAAAGGGAGTGTTACAAAATCACTGCATAGGGTTAATTAAACACACACACACACACACACACACACACTTACACACATGTTTAACATGTTTTAAACCTCAAACCAAAAGGCACAACAAGCTGCCTGAATCTGTCTGTTTTCACCCCATGTATTTATAATGTTCATGCACTGAGACAATTAGTCATATAAATACACTTTTTTTAACAAGTACAATAAGACAAAACAAAAAAGTAAATGTATCTTGAATATAAGATGATAAGATAGTACTTTATTGATCCCAATTTGGGACATTTTTGTCATATTATATTAACAAAATCAGTGCAGTTTCCAAAAAACAACATCAACAAATATACATAATGTACAAATCAAATGTCTAGCTAGCTAAATAATATAATTGTTTTCATGGGCTGTTTTTAGAATTAACAGCAATTGTACATGTTATGAAAGCAAAAATACTTCATAGGAAAAAACATAAGATAAGATAAGATAGTACTTTATTGATCCCAATTTGGGTAATGTTTGTGTTGCAGCAGCATGCATTGGAATGAATGATTTAGTCCCTTCAGGTTGGACTTCATTTCTTCCCATTCTGCAGTGTATTTGTATCCACTTTGTTTAAGTACCCATCAGGTGCAGTGGGGACTGCAGACTACAAGTGGCAGCTTCATTATCATGTCCAGACTTCACAAGGCTTCAAAGTTGGTCAACTACTAGGACACAGCACCCCTCTTCACCACCTTTATCTGCATCGTATGGGCCCCACAGGGGTCTGGGTCTTCGTCTACTTTGCCTGGGTGGTAACCCAAAAGGTCACTACCAATGTAGGGCAAATAAAATAGGCAAAAGTTAGTGATATAATGACTCAAGGCAGTTTGTTAATCTGTTGGTTATAGGCTTGAATCTTCAGTTCCCAATGGTAATTGTAACTTTTGTTCCACTCCCAACTTTGATTTACATCTGTCTTAACTTAATGTTCACAACACAACCCTTGGCCATTAAGATGGTAAACTAGTCCGACTCAATCAAAAACCTTAACATTATTATTAGTCCAGGCTAACAGCAAATAAAATGCTTGTTGTGTCTTCTTTAAAGCGACGCTTTTGAGAAGCCTGACCCTCTTTTCAGACGATTGTGCTGAAGACATGTCCCTATACACGGGTATTGATTCAGCTACAATGGCACAGAGAATTACTTTAGAGCTGCGGGAGAATGAGGAAGATCTTTGTAGGTTTGGCGAAATAGACCTCTTCTTTTGCTGTCCTCGGGAGTCTTTGTTAGCAGCAGTGTTTTCGGAAACTACAAGGACTGCGCTGTCTCCGATTCTACTCAACTTCATCCAGAGTTGGCTTCACTGAGGAAGTAGATAAATCCTTTCATTTAGCCTGGCAAACAAAGTGACATATAGAAGCTTTTTGTTCCCTTTTTGACACTTCTGTGGTATAATGCATGGCCAGAAGTGGGAGAAGTACTCAGATCTTGTACTTTAGTAAAAGTAGAAGTACCACAGTGTATGAATACTCGGTTTTAAGTAAAAGTCCTGCAAAAAATATGACTCAAGTAAAAGTACATAAGTATTATCATCAAAATATACTTCAAGTACCAAAAGTAAAAGTAGTCATTGTGCAGATTGGTCCATTTCAGAATAATATATATGATATGTTTTATAATGATTGATCATGAAAGTGTTCTCAAAGCTGGTAAAGGTGCAGCTAGTCTGAATGACTTTGTGTACTGCAGGGTAGCTTGTAGATTTACTCCAGGTGGAACTAAAGTCTGATTCAACACTTGATTAGATTTCACATCATTCATCCACATCTGTAAAGTAACAAGGTACAAAATAAATGAATGTAGTAAAATAACATGTTTTACCTATGAATTGTAGTGGAATGGAAATACGCAAGTAAAGTACAAGTCTCTCAAAATTGTACTTAAGTAGAGTTATTGAGGAAATCTACTTAGTTACTTCCCACCTCTGCATGGCCAAAATGAGCCATGGCCCCCGTTTACTTCCCCATTCTTCCCACACTGTGCCCAGATTATTTGTTATAATCTTTTCTCATTGCATCTGTGTTTTTGCATGGAATCTGCTCAGTGAAAGCACTGTCACTATAAATGGATGGATTTAACTCAGGAGTCCTAACTCTCCATGCAGTTAATTAGTTTGGGGACGCCAGCATTGTTGGTGACATCACCAGATCAGCTGGGATCATGTGATTACACATCAACATATCCATTCACCCAAATAATCTCATCTCAAAGATCCACTAACTTGCTTGTTTTGAGCTTTCAATTGTGATGACAGCTAGATTTAAACTGTCTTTGGATGTAAAAAAAAAAGACATTTGACATTGATATTGAACAAAATACAGCACCTCCACAACACTAGATAGATAGTCCTGCTTTAATTGTATTCCCAAATGTAACTCTTTCAGTTTGCTTTGTTATGGTTTTTAGAGGGATATGCATATTTAAAATAAGTGGAAGTACATCCAGATAACTCCAGTTTGAACTTCTCTCATAACTGAATAAAGGACTACTGCCGAGAGAGGAAAATGGTGAGCAGCATGTTTGCAGTGGAAACAGCTTTGTTTCATGAAATGCAGAAGAATGACTCTTTCTCCAGCTTCCCGAAAGGGCAACTCCATCAATTGTCTTGTGAAGTACTACTTCATATGGTATATCCAAAGGGAGCTGTGTTAAGCTTGATGAAACACATCTATGTTGAGTCGATGTTATTTGGGGCTAAAGACGGTTGTGTGTAAGATTAAAGAAACAAAGCGGAAGTGCCTTAAAACAATGAATTCTGAGGGCCAGCAATGGTCAATTTCACTGGTTGCAAAAAGAGGTCTGATTCTATAAAAGTCTATGAAAAAGTGATCCTTCTTCTGATTTGATTTATACTCTCCTTTAGTATTTTCTGATGAGTTAATGATCTCAATTGGTAGTTTTAAGTCTTCTGCAATACAGGGTGGTGTTCATTGAGTAAATGATGATCCAGTTCAGAAAAAATTAGACAATGAAGCAGAGTATGATTTAGGGTGTGTCTATTTTGTGATTGACATTGGGTCAATTCATGATCAATTCATGGCTGCCTAGAAAGTCTTGTTCAGTGTTCAGTGATTCTTAGCTCCATCCTCTTATGTTGTTTCTGGTTCCAAAAAACAAAGATGGAGATGGCAAAAATGCCAAGTTTGAGACTTCAGAACAAAACACCGCAAACCAGTGAGTGAAGTTTAAGTGGTTACGTCCACTTCCTGTATACATTTTATGATCTGACATAATTAAAGCAGAGGAATCGTCTTTTCTTGAAGTCATCATTTTTAAACATCTAACTGCATCAGAGAAGCACAAGCAACTATCCAACAAGTTATTTGGCCGTTAAATGTTTCTGCTACATGGCTTCAGTAAAACCCCATTACATACCACTCTAGATCAATCACCTGTTGGATACAACATTCCAAAAAGTAAGTATATCATGACTAAAATCCTGCCACACACTCCCATGAGGACAGGTGAGACTTTCCAGCCTTGGCTGACTAATGCATTCATTTTTGTGTTTTTAATTGATTTTTGTGTGAAGGTGTGTGTCGGCAACATCCCACCATAAGAGTGTGTAAGAGTGAGTTTTAGTTAGTTGGAGAGTGCTTTACGGACGTGTGTGTGTGTGTGTGTGTGTGTGTGTGTGTGTGTGTGTGTGTGCGCGCGTGCGCGTGCTGCAGGTGTGTGTTTGTGACTGTGTGTATGTGACTAATTGGGAATTGTGAGGTTCCAGTCTCCCGTTTCCATCACCATGACAACCTTGTGTGGAATCCCTTCAAAACCTCCTCCTCCTCCTCCTCCTCCTCCTCCTCCTCCTCCTCCTCCTCCTCCTCCTCCTCCTCCTCCTCCTCCTCCTCCTCCTCCTCCTGGCTTTCCCTTTTCAAAAACAACTCGCTGAGACTCACACGCTCAGCTTTTGCTTTTCTTCATCTATCTGTCAACTTCTGAGATGTTCTGCTCCCTCTGTCCTCTCATACACTTCCTTTACACTTGTGTGTCCCATCAGACACAACATGGCGGTCAGTTCATCCCTTTAGAGGTGACTTAAAAACAATGTGTATCTGTTTGATTGTCAAGGTTTAAAGAGCTGAAATGAAGACAGTTTTCAGCACTGTCTCTCTTCATCCACATCACCGTCCACCACACTGAGGATATCATTCAAAAAGTTCCATTCTTAAGCTCGCTGTTTTCTTCCGGTGTTCATTCAATAATGCAGGGATTGGAGCTGCCTTCCTTCAGCTCAGTGAGCACAGCTGTGAAAGAGCCCGTGGCAAACATATTAAACCACTAAAGCTGGCACCATACCAATAGACAATTGGACAGATTTGGGGTTGCGGTGGCATTCCCTGAACCCATTAACTGCCAAAATAATCCTGATATGTCTCCCCAAATGGGATTAAAATATATTTACAAATGAAAGTGTGAAAGGAAAAGCAATGCAGTATTGTTCAGATACCCACAACTGCCAATGAGGACATGCTAACTTGGAAGCGTCAGCAGCATGTTAGCTTGTAGCTATAGCTCGCACTATCCCTGTTTTAAACTAACAATAAAAATACATTCAAATGTCTATCTGGCACTGAAACTTGTATAAGCCTGGCTTATTCTGTCTTCCTAGCCACGACTTTCCCCATCTTAGTTTTTGTTCTCTTTTTTGGCACAGAACGTGGCAAACAAAAAAAGCA